CTGCCCGGCCCCCCAAAACCCTAAAACATGGGAACGGCAGATCCCTGCAGGGCTGGGCCTGCAGACGGGGAGGCAGGTTCCCCTTCTGCGAGGGGTCCCTCGCGCCTGCGCCCGCTCTCTTCCTTTTGGCCGGGGGAACCCCGTTCTTGCAGACCACCTGCACAGGGCTCGCGGGGGCTCCAGCCTCTCCCACGGAGCCAGGGGCAGGCACAGGCAAGCGGCCACCAGGGCAGTCTGGGAAAGCCCCTCCTCTTCTTGGGGTTGCTAAGACGAGCCCCCCAAGGGAGCCCCCAAAGAGACTCAGTCCAGAAATAGGGCTGGACGGTGCGTGTTGCCCACGCTCTGGGTGGGCGCTGCCGACGCCAGTGTGGGCACATGGCCTGCCCCGGGCTGGGCGGGGGTTTGCAGAAGGGGCAGATGCCCTCAGCACCTCCCACCGAAGCGCGTTTCTCCTTCGGTCCTTCGGTCCAGCGCTGCTCGCCCTCCCTCAAGCCCAGGTTCCCCGCTGGAGACCTTCTCTTAGCTACGGATCTCCAGCTCATCCACACGAGGGTGGAGGGGCTGGTGAGAGCTTGAAGTGGGATTATTCCCAAGAGAGAGGCAGTCCGGCTGCAGTGTAGCTGTAGTCAGAGCCCTAAGCTGAAGTGCCAAGCGTCAGAATTCCAGACGGACCAGACAGGCTTTGGGGCAGGGGAGGGAGCCCATGCTCACTCCCACGCCCTTGCACTCTGCCCCCACACACGGTTTCCAGAGGGTCTGGGAAGGGGACCTAAGCTCCTACCGGCCAGGCCTGTCCGTGCTCTGGCCCTGCCGCCCCTGCCGCCCCCAACCCGCCTCCCAGCCTGCGCCCTCTCCAGATCTGCGCTACCCCATTCTGCAAGGCACTGAGGGCCCCGCGTGTGAGCGGGGGTATGCAGCAAGGACACCCCAGCTCTGAGAGGCGCCGAGTGTAAAGAACACATGGCTTGGCCCTATTTCTTCCACTGGCTCCATGTTGAAATAATCACACACTAGATACCCGAGTTAAACAAATTAATTGCACCTCTTCTTTTTCACTTTTTCCTAGCTTGGCTACCAGGAAATGTTCCATGTGGCTCAATGACCCATGCGGCTCTTCTTTGGTTTCTCTGGGCGGTAGGCGTGAGCAGAAGCTGGCAGGCCTCCGAGCTTCAAGCAGTGAGTAGCTCCCGGGAGTGAGGCTCAGAGCCCTCGGGCTGGAGGCGCTGCGGACGCCTGTCCACTTTCGCTCTCCTTTCCCGCTGCCTCCCCGCCCCTCTCCCCTGCCACCAGCCCACTGGCCTAAACTGCAGCATCCGCGACAGCACAGCCGCTCTGCAGTGGCCACAGCAAAGCCCAAACAACCCGGCCCCAAGCCCGGGGGGCCACACACGCTGACCCCAGCCTACTGCCCTCCCCTCCCTGGGCCCCAAGGCCTGCCAGTCTGGTGACCAGCCTGTTGTCTCGCCCCCTCTGCGTGGCTGTTGCTAGACTGGAATGTGCTCTTCTCCCTCTCTGGGCCGCCAGATAAATTCCAGACTTTTCAGAGCCCAACCCAAAATCCCCCCAGGGCACCTGCCTGGACATCCAGGCTCTGGACAGTAGGGTGAGAAGAGAAAGGGTTGCGGTCTTCTCCGCAGCGCCCTCGCTGCCTCTCCGGGTTTGGGGGCTCTAGCTGCGCCCTGCCATTTTGCCCCTCCCCCCGGCCCATCTCTTGCCCACTTAGAGAGCTGCGACAGCCCACTCAGGATCTCTGGCTTTCACAAACAGGCTGTTACTGTTTGATGGGCACCCCAAAAGTGGGGTGATTGATGCCCCGGACCCTCACTGCGTCAGCACCTCCCTGTGCTTAGGCAAGTTCGCGTGCACTGGCCGGTGCACTCACACCCGACAGCGACTGCCGCTCCCAGGTCCAGAACCCCTTTCCAAAAGCCGCCCCCTGGGGCGGGGAGCCCTGCGGGGAGCACCCCCGAGCTGCCGTCGGGTTTCCCTCCAAAGGGTTTGTCAAACACTCCAGCCCGGTGCCAGGGGAGAAGGTCGCCCCTCCACCTTGCCCCAGCTGGTGCGGGAACTGGGTTCTCGCGCCAGCAAGATTTACTCCCCGCCGCTGATTCCACCTGGCGCCCCACCACCACCACCCCAGGACACCCCTCCCCCTCCCCTCGGCAGGAATCTAGTACTCGCGGGCTGTGAAGTTCGGGGTATTTTTAGGCCGGCGATAAATAATTCATAGGGAACGTGGCATCAGGCTCCCCCCGCGGGAGGAGGGGGCGCGATTGGCGAGAGCCACCGTCACTCGCGGCTCAAGGGCACTCGCGATGCGGCGGCGGCGGCGGCGGCGGCGGCGGCAGCGGCGGCGAGCGGGGAGCGGGGACCCACGCCACGCCTCCTAGCGGCCAAACGGGGCACCACGCGCTCTGAGACCCGGGGGCGCGGCTGACCCGCCAAGGGCTGGGCCAAGGGCTGCGGGTGGCCGCATTCCCAGACCCTCCAAGGGCCCAAGCTGAGGCGCTCCCCTAAACCTGGCAGGATGACGGGGTGGGAGGAGGCGGCGGTGGGGAGCAGCTCTCTTGGCAGGTGGGTCTCGGTGCGGGGTACCAGGCCAGCCTGATCAGGACCTGGAGGTCAACCCTGGAGCCGGGATTCCGCCTGGAACTCTCCTGGTTACTTTTGAAATCTCCAGTGCCCAAGTTAGGAGCAGACTGGAAATCAGAGGTTCATCGGGAGAATAGAGGGGCTCAGGGATAGAGCAGTCGGGCCCAAGTAAGTTCCTTTCTTTGATGTCTCAAGTGTGGCTCCGATGGGGGATGGAGCTAGAGGGGGCCACAGTCAGGCCCAGGAGGTTGGTGAAGTCCCACTAGAGAGCTGGGTCAGCGACCAGGCTGGACCCATCGGGTGAGCCTCAGGGCCCGCAGGAACTCCCACTTGCTCTCCCACAGGCCCTCCGGATGGGTGCTGAGTGAACCCTTGGGGATTTCTAGCTGCTAACTACCTTCTGCTGTCCCCTGCGCCACCCATCCAGCCTGGGCATGAAGTGCCTTCGGCAGCAGGTGGCTCTGGGCTTCCCTTCCTCACCACCATGGGCCATCCTGGTCCAAGCCCAGAGGCCAAGGGAGCCTGCTGGTCCTGCAGCCAGCACCCAGCGCACCCTGCTGGGCTCCCCGGGACCCTCTTCGCCACCCTCCCGTGGGCTCCTCGCAGCCAGTTCCAGCAGGCAAGAGGGCAGCATGTGGGGCGATCTCACCACCTGGGAAGAACCACACTGGTTCCCTGAGGTCAGCCGGCAGGTGATGAGGAGGCCAGGAGAGGAAGGGGAGGCCTTGGGGGCCTCACAGCCCGGAAAGGACAGGGGCATGGGGAGGATGCAGCCAGCTGGAGCTCAGCAGACCTCCGGAGTCAGATGACCAGCTGCAGGAGCCAGGGGGGCCGCCCCCGGAGCCATGGACAAGCCCCATCCCGTCCTCTTCGCTCCGTGCCCACTGCCACCGCCTGGGTTCTGGTCAGCCGCGACCCCAGGTCCTAAGCCAGCTGCCTGCCTTGCCGCTCCCAGCAGCAACAGTTGGGGGGTCTGCTGGCCCAGACAGCCGCGTCCCCGCAGCGCCCCCTCCCCCGCGGGCCGCGCGCGGCGCCAGGCGGAGGAGCCGAGGGCTCGGCGACCCGGAGACCAACGTCTTGGGCGGGCGCCTCGCCCGCGTCCTTCCTCGCGTCCGCCGCGCGCCCGCCACCTCGGCCTCTCGTCTCCCTGCTCTCCGCCCGCCGAGACCAACCCCGAGGCCGAGCTCGCGCGGGCCGGGCCCTGGGCGACCCTCCTCGGGCTCCCCTGCCCTGGACGGGCTCTCCCCGGGTGTCCCGCCGCCGTCTCCGCTGCCCTTGCCCGCGCGGCGCCGGAGCCCAGCCCCAACTTGGC